TGATCATTGACAGTTAAGGAGTAAAGTGCTGTATAGTACTAGTGATCCTTGTCTTCTCTTCATTATCATGTACTTTAGGTAAATCATCCTGATCACCACCCCACACATACAGCGAATCATCTACTGATACAGTGCGGTGAGTTGCTCTTCCATTCAGTTGATCTAGTATGACAAAAAATCACTGGGGTGGTAAAAAGACTAAAGTACTTACAAGATAGCCCATCGGCACTGTCTTGATTTGCACCATAGCTTGCACTTCTCCTCCACCGGAGAAGATTAGCCATGTTACGACGCCACAAGCGCCAGCTTGGGCTCAAAATATCACAGATAAAAATTTAATTTACTCCAGCAATTCTATGCAAAACAAACGATGAGAAAACAAGCTGCCCCACCCAACATTTTGAAAATTGCACTACGGGCGTGGCTCACTGCGTAGCAGCGCTCACTGCATAGCTCGCAAGTCAGCTCATGAATTTACTTACCATTAAATAGGTTCAATATCCTATTTCAAGTTTAGATATTATCTATGACAAGTTTTGAATTTCATAAATGAGTTCAAACATTTTGTTTATTGTACTGATATAATATGCTCTTCATTGAATTTCTGGTACTCCTCCTGCTTTCTCCTTCCTGTCTGTAGTTGCTGCTGATATTTCTTCTTGTATTCTTCATCATTCATACCATTGGTATCTAATGTATCACCTACTGTCCACTCTCTTTTATCGTTGAGAACTAATAAAGGATAGATACATGTATGTGAATTGTTATTATTATGATCATGGTTATGCAAACTATAATTATATCAGTACAAATGCACAAACCTAATTCAGTTAACATAGTAGAGTTAGGGTATGTGATAAGTGTCCCTGTTCTATCAACACATCCTCCAACAGTTATCATCCAGACACAATGAGGACTCATAATGAACACTGAGAGAGAATGACCATATCTCTCACTAACAGAGTGAGGTACATCTAACTGTTAATAGAAATAAACTAATAATTTAAATGTATCTCACCGTTACCTTTATCCAGGAATGTTGAGTGATGTTAAAGATCCAACAATCATCTAATATATCATCATCATCACCCTCCCCACCACTTATCACTAGCATAGGACAGTCTAATCTAGTTATAATAATAGCACCTGCATGATGGCATCTACCCACAGGCCATTGGTCTATTGCTTCAGGTTTCTTTATACACTGCCAGGTCTAATAAATGAAGAGTGCATGTACATTTAGATTCGGTACACATGATTTTAACATACCACAGTGCTGATTGATATCTCTAATATGTAAACACTGTCAGTAAAAGTATTCTCAGATTCATCATCAGTCTCTCGTCCACCAAACAGAACAGCTCTAGTGCTGTTGATCTTTTCAATGATGAAGTGACTAGCAGGTGGTATACACTGACCAATGATTGAAGGATTATTCCATTTTTCTACATTTAAAATCATTAACATAATTTCAAACAATAACAAAATTTTACTTGACGATATATTATACATTGAGTGCTCATTAGTATGCCATCTTCCACTAGGTAACTCAATATATTTATAATGAGGTAGTTGTACAGCTGGCTTAGATCCTCTTCCTCCTATCATTAGTAAATGGTGTACTCCATCATGTTCAAATGATATCATTCCACCACCACCTCTCCTCATGACTGGTCTAGTTGCATCAGTTGGTTCTAATTCTTTCCATTGAAGACTAACAGTATCCAG